TGTCTCACCTTCCATGCTCCTAATGTTGGATTTACCCTCCAAATTCCCAGAATACAGTGAAGGAGTCATTTCATGCACATAGTATCTTAAGAGCATCTTAGACTAAACTGTGCCACAATTGTTACAGCCTCATTGTTTGTCTAGGAAAGTGAAAGAGAACACATGAACCCAGGACAAAAAATAAAATGTGAAGGCAGCAGTTTGGTTATTACTGTTCATTCCCCCATTTGTCGTATTATATGTAAATCTACTGCTGACTGTTTTCTAACATCATATCTGCTGCTGTTGCTCATGCTGCTGGCCATGTATATTTCATAAGCTATTATGCATCTCATCACCAGTGCACTGGTGATGCTTACCACCTGTCTTCTTGTTATTATTTACACTACTGTCACTGTTTGCACATGATTTTGAGTTACTTCATAGCCTATTAGATTGTACCATTTAGTTTACTGTATCCTAATTACTTTAATTCAGTCTTCATATTCTTTTTATTCTTTATTTTATTCTATTTAGTTTCTTAAATAATATGGGCATTCAATATTAGGAGACAGAGAAACAGTAATTTAATTTTTCTGTATGTCCTGCACATATATGTAGTGCACCCCATAGAGGTGGGGACTCTCATATGGCTTGGAGGGGGGTTGACCCAGTGCTATACAGTATTTGCTGGCGGGAGATATGGGTATCAAAATTGAAGTGAGTGTTTATTTAGAACAAAAATAAAATTGATGAGGTATCACATTAAATAATGTTCTGCTATGATATTTTCAGTGTAATACAGGAACAATATAAATATCACTATTTTCAGTTTTAATTTTGATTTTACATATTGTCCCAATGCCTTCTGATTTGGGGTGGAATTTATTTTATTTGAATTTAATAGGAATTTATTGTATTTTCAGCCATGCTGTGTCTTATGTTTTCTGAACATGTTTGGATTCAGTGTATACTCTGTGAAATGAAAATTAGTCTACCTGTTTAAATTAATTTTGAAACATTTCTTACCAAAATATTTGTCCTTTCAGTTGCTGAACACTGCACTATGTTCATAAGAGGGCACTACCTTTGTCAGGTTTGCAATTCTTGTTACGTCCATGACCCGGGCTGCCCCCTGTACCTTGGTAGCAGGCACAGGTAGTTCCAGCAGCTCCGCCCCCGCACAGGTGAGGTTGCGTTCCAGGCGGCGAGGCACACCTGCTCTCAATTATCGGAGCAGTATATAGGGTCGGCATTGGTGCGTCCTTGTTGCCAGATTATTATATTGTAATATGTTGTCCTGCTAGTAAAGCCAGTTCGTGTTCATATTAAGAACTCAGGGTTATGAACTACTCTTTGATCTGTGCTCCTCACTGAACGCTGTGAACTGTAATTACGCATAGTAGTGTTGCATTGGTTTTTGTGCCCTTCTCATGTTTTAAAGGGTTCCTTTGGTTTGGACTGTTTTTCTGGGGCCTTTACGTTTTCTGAACTGCTGTTTCCCGTTCTGGGCCAGCTTTGGCCGTTTTGTGTGTGTGTGTGTGTGAATTGCTCCTTCTCGCAAAGCTCCCAAGCACGACACCAGCCCACTCGATGTTCCTCTCAGTGATCCTGGGGCAGCACCCTGGGGAACAGTAGTCCAGTCAACCCAGTGTGCCCAGCTGCCCTGAGATCAGCGGAAGACGTTAAGGACGTTTTCCTTGTCTAGCCTGGGTTTGAGTCTGCATCATTACTGGGTCCAAAACCACTCTAACACACAGCTCACCATAACACTTCTTAATGAAAGCAGCTGCCTGTTGTGTCTTGGGGATGACAATGAAAGCTGAAGACTGATAAGAACAATGAAAGTAAACCACAACATTGCAGTTGAGGACTGTGAAACCAAAACAATGAGCTGGAAAATGACAAAGTGTAAAGCTGATGGGAGCTGCAGAGACAGGTGATCATTTTCTCTAAACATACATATTGTGATGTGATTCATTGTACATAGAAATATTGACAATTGGTTTTATGTTTAAAAGTTGACTTTAATTAGAATTTGCATTAGTTGGTTACAGTAGTAGCACAACCTCTGTCTTGGAAGAGATCAGTTAGCTCCAGGAGCAATATATATATTCCATACGAGCCAGACCCTCTCCAAGACACATCCGTTGACCTGTGATTTGAAATACCCATAACTCAAAGCATGACACATGACAAATACGTTCTATAACCCAGTGTATATTTCCTCAGTCAGATCTCCCAATAAATCTCTCTGTGTTTGTATGACTGTAATAATTATTTCGATCACCTGTAGAGAAAGGCATGAACGCCTCTGGTTTCACAAACTCTTGCTTCTCATTGAGGAAGTTTTCAGGGTCAAAGACATGGGGGGATTTCCACTGTCCCTCTTCAAACAACACTGAGGACAGGTTGGGGATGATAACAGTTCCCTGAAGAACAAACAAGAGGAACAAATAGCTATTAATGTGTAAACACATACAGTAACTATGACTATGGTTCTTTTTCTTCTTTCCCAGACTTCCACATACACCCCCATTCTATCAGTGTGACACACATCTTACATCTTTCCATAATTACAGTGAAACATGAAATACTCTCACTCTCCAGCTTTCCTGATACTGCAGTCTTACATGATAAATCTGAATTAATCAGTCATTGCTGTTTATGTCTTGATGTGGGATCTTCCCCTCTTTGGGAGTACTTGGCCATTGTATATACTGATGTATATACATTAAATCACTTCACGTATTCATTTATTTTACCTGATGTTTTTTACAGTGTTACAGAAATGCAGAAGCCAATTCCAGAATTCAACTTTGCATCAGACTTACCAATCTTTGATGTGCATTAGAAAACATCTACTACTCTCAATTTTAACCATAGAAAATATTCTTAACATTTTTTTCTTGAAGTATTTTACATAATGTTATACAGTGGTGGAAAAAATATCTCAGATCTCTTACTTTAATAAAAGTAGAAAAACAACAGTGTAAAAATACACTTACAAGTAAAAGTCTAGCATTCAAAATGTGTCTCCGCCAAGGAACATTTGCTCTTGCAACTGGGTCCAACACAAACACAAAATGTGTCCTTACATCCTTGAACTAGATCAGATCCAGATTGTATGTTTGTCAAATTTGAAATGATTTTGAACTTTTGATACAGATATGATTCATTTCTCTCATCTCATCTCATTTTCTATACTGCTTAGTCCTGATCAGGGTTGCGGGAGAGATATGATTGTTTTTTTTTTATTTTGATCCATGTTAAAGAAGGGATTTGATGTTTAACCTTTTGTCAGCTATAGTCTAATCACTTCTAGGGTTGATCCCCACCAATGTCTGTACCAAATATGCTGATGATCCATCCAGCCATTTGTTCATAACCCTTGTAACCAACACACATAGAACCAAAAACACAACCTCCTTGGCGAAGGTAACAATTGCTTTCATGCAAGTTTCTGGAATACAAAACAACTATCAAATATCTCCTAAGAAGATATCATGTCTACTGTAAGAGCTTACAAATATATTAATTTATTATATTTTTTAAATAAAGGAACAAACAGTATTTTCACTTACCCTGGGTATGGAGTATCCCATGAGCTCTGTGTCTTTAGTGGTGCAATGGAAAAGACTGAGAGGAGCAGTGTCAGCCACTCTCTGGACCTCATGAATAACAGCCTGCATAAACAAGAAGACAGCTGATACACTGCTGTAACATCTCAGAGATACTGTACCTACATGTTTGTGCTTCACAATATTTAAAAAATGTTTTTAAAACATACATTCAATGTAATTATGCATAAAATCAAGTAACTGTTGTACCTGCACATATGGCATCTGGTGTCTGTCTTCAAAACTGACCTGATCCTTAGAGGGAGACAGAGGGAGAGAGAGGGAGCCAGAGGTAAATGGAGAGAACAAGTTTTACAGTTAACAGGAAAAAAATATGCAATATACAGTATTTTCAGTATTGGTTCATATGCTGTATGGCAGTCTGACCTGGCATAAAGCACGTATAATTGAAGTTTTACCATGTTCTCTATTTTAGTTTAGCATGTCCACATGCTAGGATTTGCTAAGTAACACTAAACAAAGTAGAGTTGAAATTGATTGGAACCTCATTACTTTTGCAGATATCTGGTCCTGAACCATAGTGACACATTTTTGAACTGCTGGTTGGACTCGACAGAAATTTAAGGGGTCACCAAAGTGATTACAATTCATCATCAGTAGAACATAAATGGATGTTCACCAAAGTGATTACAATTCATCATCAGTGGAACATGAGTGGAAACCTAAGACACAACAGAGAATTTATAATGCAGTAACAATAAACATAGTCTTACTTTCCATTAACAGTAACAGCCCATAATGTAGTCATGTGACAGGAGTCCTTTCTCATGTTATTCTCTGCTTTGCTTCAGTCCATTTGAAATCCATGACATCAACATCAGACTGGTTTGTACTAACCTTTTCATTAACAGCTGTAGGCTTTATAACTGGGCCCAGCTTGGCCTGTTTAGCTTCTGATTTCTGACTAGCATCTTCCTGCTGCAACTTGAAATACAATTTGCCTGTCTTTTTTGCATGCCTAATTGATGATCAATACATTAGGACTGCGAGGCTATGGCCTCTAATCTGTTCAATCAATAGCAGGCTTGATGTCATATATGGGGCCTTATTACTCCACTACACATT